TTATTCTAGAGAGAGAGAGCAGAGGGAGAGGGTGAGAGAAACTTAAGCAGACTCTGTGCTGAACGCAGAGCCCGATGCGGGGCTCATCCTCACAACCCTGAAATCATGACCTGAGCTGAAACCAAGAGTCAGATGCTCAACTGACTGCATCACCCAGGTGCCCCCACTGTGAAGTGATCTTTGGAGAAGGACAGGACTGCTCCTTTTACTCTAAATAGAAATTGGAAAATATTTCATCCCCAAAATAACAAAGTATAAAGATAAAAACATCTCATTTGGGTTTCAAATAGCGCTGCAGAGTTAGCAATAATTATACGACTTATGAAAATCTTGATAATAAATAATTTGATAGTAGAATAATATTATGTGGGAGATATTCATCAGGTAAGCAGAAAAATCACATGCCAACAATGTAAAGACCCTGAATAGAATTACTTCAAATTAACTACTTTAACATTTATATAGGTAATGATGAAATAGGGCTTAAATATTGTATCTGGAAAGCAAAACTCTTCATTGGGTGGTGCCGCCTAAGCCCGAAGGCAAATTTCCTAAGACTCTTTACAGAGTAACAACCTAAGAATGTCAGGAGCACTGGAAAACAGAATAGAACATTTCCTGCTAGAACAATACTTCTTATTTGTGCTGATAGCTAGAAAAAACCCATAATCTTGTCATGTGTGGAGATACTTGCTACTGGGGCCACAAGTATTCTTTTCCTTCTTATTTAGAGAATGACACTCAGATTGTCATTAAGGGCCCCAACCTTTAGGCCAGCCAGCAGAGGCCATCTTGTGGCCACAGTAACCAGTTTAAGGGTGGCTTGGGCTATTTCAGAGAGATGCAAGGAGATGCTTGCTGAGGGCATCTGCAAAAGATGCTTCCTCCTCCTTTCATGGAAGCTACACGGAGAGATATGTTCATCCCACTGGGGAGAAACTAAGCAGTTTTTGCCAAGACTTGCTGGGATGCTGAAGAAGAGAAGTTGGGAAACGGGGGACAGAAGCTGGACCTACTGTATAACTTTGGCTGCCAGCTCAAATCTTGCTTGAAGCTAGCCCTTCCTTGGACTTCTAAGTTAGGTAAGCTGAGAAATACCTTGATAGTTTAGATCATTTGGGGTTTGATTTTCTGTTGTTTGCCACTGGACATATTTAAATGAATTACTTGGACAAGCAGTAACTTAATCACCCAGGTTGTAGACACTTGGGGAAAAGCACTTGGTCAGTGCTGACCCTCCACTCATGCTTCTCCTTCTCAAGGTCGCACGGGAGGGGAGGAGCCTGCTCTCTCTAGCCAAAGGACAGAAAGGGGACAGCCCAGCAAGACAGAAAACCTACTACTCTAGTCAAATACCACAGAAAAACACTGTGGCTGAGTTTAGCAAGCAATTTAGCATGAATCCTCCCACCCTTCATACCTGGCCAAGTTCCTCTTAGTAATTTTCTACCCAGTGACTCTGTCCACCTCCCTACTGGCCGTAAATCCCCAGGTGCCCTTGCTGTATTTGGAGTTGAGTTCAATCTCTCTCCCCTATTGCAATAATCTTGAATAAGCTCTTCCTTGCCTGTTTAACTCTGTCTGTTGCGATTTTTCTTTGACAAAATACAACATATAAAAATTTGTGGGATATAGTTAGAACAGTGGGGGAGAGGGAAATTTTATAGCACAAAAAAATGTACACATGAGAAAAAAGGAAAAGTCTTAAAGCAACAATCTAAAATTGCACCTGGAGAATTTAGCAAAAGTAAAGCAAAATAAACCCAAATCAAGCAGAAGAAAGGAAAGACTAAACAACAGAAATCAGTAAAATTGAAAACAGAAAACCCACTGAAACAAATAGCTGGTTCGTTGAAAAGATCAATAACATTGATAAAACTCTATCTAGACTGATAAAGAAAAAAGAGAGAAGACACAAATCACCAATATCAGGAATGAAATAGGGGACATCACTACAGATCCTGCAGACATCAAAAGGTTAAGGGAATACTACAAACAACTATATGCACATCAATCTCACAAATTAAAAAAATATATATAACCAACCCAAATTTACCCAATATGAAACAAGATACTATGAATAATCCTATAAATACTGGTAAAATTGAACACATAATTTCAAAACTCTCCAGAAAGAAACTTCCAGGTCCAGACAATTTTATTAGCAAATTCTACCAAATACTTAAAGAATAATTTTTTTTTAAATTTTATTTTTAAGTAGTCTCTACACCCAACGTGGGGCTCGAAGTTACAACCCTGAGATCGAGAGACACATGCTCTACGGACTGAGCCACCCAGGCATCCCTATTTAAAGAATTAACACAAATTCCACACAATATCCTCCAGAAAATGCAAGAGGAAGGAACATTGCCTGTTTCATGAAACTAGTGTTATCCTGGTATGCAAACCAGATAAAAACAGACCTATATTTCTCATGAATATATACACAAAAATCCTTTAAAAATATTAATACATAGTGGCATTAAAATAGACACACAGACCAACAGAACTAAATAGAGAGCCCAGAAATAAACCCATAATTATATGGTCAATTGATTTACAACAAAGGAGTCAAGAATATCCAATGGGGAGAAGACAGTCTCTTTGATAAATGGTGTTGAGGAACCTGGACAGATACATGCAAAAGAATGAATCTAGACTACTATCTTACACCATGTAAAAAAATTAACACAAAATAGATTAAAGACTTGAATGTAAGACCCGAAACCATAAAACTCCTCAAAGAAAACATAGGTGGTAAGCTTCTTGACATTAGTCTTAGCATTGATCCCACTCCAAAAGCAAAAATAAACAAGTGGGACTAGATTAAACTAAAAAAGCTTCTGCAAAGGGAAAAAAAAAGGCAACTTACTGAATGGGAAAAAAATTGTAAATCATATATCCTACAAGGGGTTAATATCCAAAATATATAAGGAATTCAAACAACTCAATAGCAAAAAAACCAATCTGATTAAAAAATGAGCAGAGGACCTGAATAGACATTTTTCCAAAGAAGACATATAGATGGCCAACGGGCACATGAAATGATGCTCAACATCACTCATCATCAGGGAAATGCAAATCAAAACCATGAAGAGATATTATCTCATACCTGTTAGGATGGCTATTATCAAAAAGACAAGAAATAACAAGTTTTGGCAAGGATTGGAGAAAAGGGAACCCTCGTGCACTGTTGGTGGGAATGTAAATTGGTGCAGCCACTGTGGAAACAGGGTGGAGACCCCTCAAAAAATTAAAAATAGAACTATCATATAATCCAATAATTCTACTACTGGGTAATTGCCTGAAGCAAACAAAAACATGAATTTGAAAAGACACATGCACCCCTATGTTTATAGCAGCATTATTTACAATAACTAAGATATGGAAGCAACCCAAGTGTCCACTGATGGATGAATGGATTTAGAAAATATGGTATGTATATACAATGGAATGTTACTCAGCCATAAAAAGAAGGAGATCTTGCCATTTGTGACAACAAAGCTAACCTAGAAGACGACTGAACACTTGGGATATTAAAGAATTCATAACAATACAATGTGTGAGGTCAGATATTTTGAATTACAAAACATGGGTGAATTCTGAGCCGGAACCACTCAGTGCAAGTGGCATGACAGTGACACGAGGACAGTGACAAAAACTGGCCTGTCGATGCAGAAACATTAGGAGGGGCGTCTGAAGCCACAACCGACAAGGAGGTATTAGGAGATGAAGAAATGGTGAGAATGTGGCTCCTGGCAAGTGCAGTAAGAACAGAGAGGTCCTCCGCACCTGCCCAGGAACAGGCCTTCATAAAAATATGATAGGTCCAAGAGAGACACACAAAACAAAGATTGACATGCACAAACCCTAAAGAATCCGAGTCAAGGGAAGAGAAGAATTGAAGCTCATGAGCAACTGCCAGCCAGGATGGAGAACATGACAGCTTGGGGAAGAGGCTGGGCCTACACTGTTAACACGCGGCAATCCTGATGATGATCCCAAACCACGTGACTTTGAGACATGGGAAGGCAACTCAAGGGTGGATCACACACCCAGGTTTTCACTCAGTAAGTACTTGGTGCCTACCAGGCGCAGAGCCAGGCCACGGTGGGGAGTAAGTCGACAAAAGAGGCAAAAAGTCCCTGTTCTCTTGGAACATACAATCTAACAGGGTAAACAGAAGTCATCAGGCAGTTAAAACACCATGTGGTGGCCATCAGGACAAGTACAGGGAACGTCTAGGAGGATACTAGACCGGGGTTTTGATAAAGCAAATACTGATCAATGAACCACTCGATGCTAAGAGAACTCAAAGAATGAGGGTTTTAGGTGGATGAAAATGATCAGATGGGGGCTTCTACTTCCACTCAGGATGGACACAGTTGAAAAGAAAGGGCTCCCACCTAACAAGGAAGGTAAGAAACACAACCTATAACATAAAGCCCTAAAAATACACGTATACTTTGACTCAGGAATTCCATCTCTGGGAATGCTATGGAAATCATCAGAAAAATGTACCAAAAATATACATACAGGTATGTTTATGGCATCTCTGTATAAAATAAGTACAACTGAAAACAATCTAAACGACCGTCACCAGGGACAGCCATCAAGTGGGGTATAAAGTAGCTGTTAAAATGATGATGTGGACTTCCAGTGGAAAGTAGTGGCCAAATGCACACATTATGTTATACCTTCTCTTTCCAAAAATTCAACTGAAATAACAGAAAATAAAAAAAACAAGAGCGTCACTAAAAACTTGGAAGGAGTGCTACCCACAAACCAGAGACCCTGGAGATTACTGGAAGAGAATAAAACACAGCAAGAGATTAACCTGGAAATGTAATAGAAAATACGATCTTACAACGCTGTACAGGCAAAAGCAAGGACCTCGTAAAAAGTGCGTTTTCTCAGAGGCGCCTGGGTGGCTCAGTCGTTAAGCGTCTGCCTTCGGCTCAGGTCATGATCCCAGGGTCCTGGGATCGAGCCCCACATCGGGCTCCCTGCTCGGCGGGAAGCCTGCTTCTCCCCCTCCCACTCCCCCTGCTTGTGTTCCCTCTCTCGCTCTTTGAAAAAACAAACAAACAAATAAAAAAAACCAGTGCGTTTTCCCAGTAGAACTCATAAATTACTCTTTGATGAGAAGCAGCAGCTAAGAGAAAAGGTGCAGCAGGCACTTGCCTTCAGAGGAGGCACTAGTCTTAGTGCTGCTTGTGGTAAAGACCGCAGAAGAGCTCTCTAAAGTGGGGTGTCCAGAGAAAGGCCTTCCTAAGGTGGGTGCGACGTCCAGAGAGCGTAGGGCCCTGAGCAGGGCTGCGGCTCCTGCAGGTGTGAGCCCACCCAGCCCCACATGACCACCAGCTGTGAGCACTGGGCACCCACACACGTAAAGGCCAGATGAAGGCTGGCAGGATGCAGTTCAGACCAGTGACAGGGGACCCACGGGGTAGACAGACGTGTCGTGAAGGGAAAGGAAAGGGCACTGAAGTTTTTTTCCACCCATGTCCACACTATTTGAATTTATCACAAATATATACTCATATGTATATATTTTTACAGTGCATATTTAAATAATTAATGTATTCAATTCATATGTTTAAATAATTCAAATGTTCAAATCTAAATATAGATTCAGGTCAATATTAATGTATGATATCAAGACATCATAAACAAAATTGAGAAGTATAAAAGTGAGGTTTTATTTTGGTAGAAAAACAGTATTTTATAAATATATGTACTTGGCAAAAAGTCAATAAGGATAGACACCAAAATGTTAACCACAGTTAATACTGCATGGTGGAATAATAAGTGACTTATTAGTTTTTGTTTGTTTGTTTTTACATTTCTGTACTTAAGGGACTGTTCTGCGATGAAAAATTAGTAATGAATCATCTTTAATTCAAAAATATAAAGCCATTTAAAAAGCTAATTGCTTTGAGTGTTATTAAAGCTGCATCATAAATTCAAGGGTATTTATAGCTTTTTTCATCAGAGACAGTCTGGAACAACAACAAAGAAATGGAGGAGGTCATCAGAGCATCAGACATTTCAACACATCTCTGGACCTCAGAAGCTTCCTGTCCAGTACAAATCTGAAGACGAGGAAGGGGAAGTGGGAAGGGGGTGTCCCTTTTGCCCTCAGCCCCAGCACACATGACTCTCTGGATGGAAAGGACCCCTCACTAACTCAACACATCATGACGGCAGGGACCATGTGTCTTATTCCCCCACTATGTTCCTAAAACACAGCAGGTGCTAAGTGGGTATTAGCTGAGTGGATAAACAGAGTAAAACACATCTATCTACATGGGGCCCTCTCTTAGAAACAGAAAGTGCACAGGCAAACACACATATAGGCAAAAACTCAACTCTGAGGCACAGAAACTGGCGTCTACCAAGGGGCGCTAACTTACCGGATGCCTGGCTGAAAGTCTTCCAGTCACAGTTCCAGTCTGATTCCACGTAGAGGAAATGGAGCCCTTTATCAGTTAAGAAGAATCAGTTTCAGCGCTGGCAATGGCACGTGAAGTCAAGAGCACAGTGACCCTTAGTCTCCCTGCACACAGCACACACTCACTGCTCTCCTGCAGACGTCCACAAGCTGCTGGCCCGAAGCCCCCAACCCTGAAAGGTCTCTGGGTGTCAGCCAACTGCTGACCAACAAGGAGGTTCCCCTAACCCATGCAAAAACTGCAACAGGACATGTGGGCCTTCAGGTCCCTTCAAGCCCCTGAGCACGGGGAGAGGAGGACCATGTGCCACAGGGGCTCAGCATGGACTCCAGGCGGGGCTGTGCAGCCAAGACAGGGGCCCAGATGGAATACCCCTGCCTGCAGGCTCCTCCTCCTTCCCTGCAATGGGCACGGGAAGAGGCTCAGTGACAGGTGTCACAGTGCCTGGGGAAGCCCAGGGCTTCGGCATACGTGCAGCTCCAGGTCCGAAGGCATGATGACCACTCAGGCTATAAAGAGACCCAAGTAATAACAAAATCATGGCTCAGGCGCCTGGGTGGCTCAGTTGGTTAAGCGACTGCCTTCGGCTCAGGTCATGATCCTGGAGTCCCGGGATCAAGTCCCGCATCGGGCTCCCTGCTCGGCAGGGGGTCTGCTTCTCCCTCTGACCCTCCCCCCTCTCATTCTCTCTCTCTCAAATAAATAAATAAAATCTTCAAAAAAAAAAAAAATCATGGCTCACAGCTCAAGAATATTTGGTGATTTCATCGTTAACTAAAATTTCAGGGAATTGTACATGTATCTGATGCCACGCGGAAACCACATTCCTGGGCACAGGATCTCGTTTAGCTCAGTCACCTTTCTCATGCAAGCTAGTCATCCATCCACAAAGGCTGATTTGGTCTTGTGAACCTAGGTTGCACAGACAAGAGTAATCATTTTCTTGTTTCAGCATCCAGCAAGAACAAGCATCAAAGCAGTGTTTCACAGAGTGCTGGGCATGTGGTGCTCACGTGTCAGCTCCAGGAGGCCCTGCAACAGGCTAGTGTGGTACCCACAATTAAATAACAATGACCCACAGGGAAAGATGGCACCCTACCCTCTTTCCAGAATAATTCTGGAATGATTCTTTTCTCAGAAACGTTGCAGAGATAAACGGGGAGCCCTGGGTACCCATCCTCCCGCATCCCCTAGGGTGCCTTCAGTTCTCTTCCAATCGTTTTGTCCCTTCAAGGAGAAGGCCATTTGGCGCCATGACCAAGCCCTGTCGGCTGCCACACCTCAGGAGAGCAGCAGGCCACAGGTTCAGGGAGTGACAGACTGATAGTACAAGCAGCAGCCAAGCTATGGACGCCGTTCACGGACAACAGAGAACACGCGGAGGTGCGTGGACAGAGGAAGCATCGGCTGCTGAGGAAGAAGGCAGCATGTCAGCGAACGAGCAAGCCAACATGCTCAGAGGGCTGCAGGGAACTTCGCCAGGCCCAGGGCTGGGGAGTGGGAGGAGGCCCTCGAGAGAGGCTTCTGAACTCTGTGCTGCTGGAATCTAGTCCACAGAGAAGCCACCCGATGACAACACACACATCCCCTTCCCACCTTCATCCGTCCTCGTCGCCGTGGGACCCTCTGGCTCGGTGCCGAGCGGGGTGCACGAGAGCAGCGCTGGAACCAGGCCGGCTTGAACAAGCTCTGTTCCCCTCAGAACGCTGCCAGGGCTACTGCTGTGATTATGGATTGATGGCTCTTATCAGAGGTGGGGCCAGATGGCTCCCCTCCCTCACCAACTCATTCACACACAAAGGGAACCTACCCGTCTATATTCCAAAATTATCTTGGGTAATGGATGAAGGTCCTGCACAGCACTTAACTGAAAAATGAGAATAAATGTCACCAGTATAATTCCTTCATTTAATTTTAACATTTTGAACACTTATTTTCAGCTGGAGAAAGTCCTAATAATAAATGGTCTGTATTGACCATATTTTCCAAAGTGAAGATTCATAATAAATTGAGTTTATCAAGTGTCTTTAATCTTAATCCCTTACAAAATCATTGCTGTACATATGAGAGCTAAAGGCATTTCACACAAGCTTGGAAATAAGATTGCTCCTGAGATTTAAATTCATGAAATCTAAATCCAGGGTATGTAAAATACCACACAGGAGAATAAACTAAGAAAATGCCTACAAATGTGTAACTCAAGAGTTTAGGAACACCCAATGTTTCAACTACAGTTATCCAGGCATAATGTCAGGGAGGTAACATCAGAATAGGATTATGGATTTTAAAACTAATTTTAAAAGGTCAAAATATTACATATAGGACAACACAAGATCCTAAGAACATGATTTGTTCGATTACCACAAAGTGAACATGCTTGGGTAAGACCACGCACATGGAACATTCCAGATCCCCTGCGGGTCCCTGCCCCTTCCCCTCCCCTGCAGGTAGCCACCACTCTGCCTCCACCATCAAGGCCACTTTTCCCAGCTTTCGAACTTCGTATCCATGCAACAGGACAGACACTCTGTGTGTGTGGTTTTGTTCAACAGGGTGGTTTTAAGGCTCAACTGTGTTGTATGAAGCGGCATTTCATTTACTTGTACTCCTGTTTTCAACTGTTCGTTTGAATGTAGGACAACTATATTTTCTCCTTGATGGATACTAGTGGGTTGTTTGCGGGCCATGATGAGTAGTGTTGCTGTGAACATTCGGAGCCCGATTTTGGTTAACATATGTCTGCAGTTCTATTGAGCAGAAACACAGAGAGGAATGGAATCGCAGGGCCAACTGAAGCAGAGGCAACACCAGCCAGTTCTCCCAAGTGAAGGCACACATCTGTTCCCCACCAGCACCATGTGGATGTTCCAGTTGCTCCACATCTTTGCCAACACATGTCCCAGGCCTTAATGTTAGCCATTCTGGTAAATGTGAAGTGATACTGCATGGTAGTTTTATATGTATTTCCCCAGTGACTAATATACTTGGACAGTATTCACATACTCATTGACTAATTAGGTATCTTCTCTCATTAAACCCCTGTTCATGTCTTTTGCTCATTTAAAAAATTGGTTTGCATGTCTTTTTTTCCCCCTGTTGATTTGTAGGAAGTTGTTATTCTGGACAGTGTTTTCTTCAGCTGGTTATATTTACTGGAAATCTCTCTGCCTTCTGTGACTTGCTTATTTACTTGTTTAATGGCATCTCTTCATAAACAGAGATTCTTAATTCTACTGTTGCCCAATTTATCAATCTTTTCCTGTATGGGTAATGCATCTTGTGTTCTATTTAGGAACATTCACCCATCTCAGGGTCTTGAGGATATTCCCTTATGGTTATCTTCTGCAATCTTCGTTGTTTTGCTTTTTGTATTTAGATGTACAATTTGCTTGGAGTTTATTTTTGTGTATGGTGTGAAATAGGGGTCATTTATGGAACGAGCCCTCCTTATTCACTGCTTGGCAGAGCCACCCTCTCGGAGATCGTGCCTTTCGTACGCATGTGTGGACTCCCCATCCTGGGTCCACTGGCCTGTTTGTTCATGCTCCAATCGACACTAGACTGTGCTACTTAGTTCCCGGCAATCCCTATTTTTTTAGGATTAGTCTTGACGTCCAACAGGCTAAGTCCTCCAGTAGTGCTTCCCAAGATCACACTGGCTCTTAGTTTTTGGCATTTCCATGTCAATTTGGGAATCAGCTTTCCAGCTTCTCCAAAAAACTGCTGCGAGGATTGTTTTGAATCTATAAATCAGGTTGGGCTAACTCTCATGTAACAGTGTAAGGCATGAAGTTGCGTCCCCGTCTGTTTGAATAAAGACTGAGGACCCAAGAGTCTTGGCTGGCCACAGAACCGTAACCCGGAGAGCCGACACTGGTGTCATGGGAGTAGGTGCTGCCCAGGGGGAGGCACCCTACCTCAGTACAATCCAGAATTGCCATTTACTTAGAAAAGCTATCCCCAGGGGGATGACAATATATGAAAACACTTAGCCAAGAAACCTGCTTAAGATCGACTAGCTCTCCTTATCTCGATACCTTACTCATCTAACCACAGTCTCTCTGTATATCTCTACTTCAGCCGTCCGAGAACCCTTGAAAAGATTTAAGTATTTGATCTCATAGAACTTTGGACAAAGCCCTACCAGCATTGGTTCATGATCAGAGGCAGTTCCGCAGCCGCCTGCCGCCCTGAGAGCTTTATCACACAGTCCGTGTTGGCTCCTGACAGCACATTCTTCTCGGCTCCTTTCTTTTCATAACCAATCCGCAGCCTCTTGTCGGCGCCTCCCCTTCCCCTGACCTCTAAGGGTCAGTTTCTCAGCGTTAGGTTCTGCGGTTATCAGTGTTGGCGGGCTTATGAAAAACATGCCTGGGTCTGGCTGTCCAACCCACAGACACGATTCTGTGGATCAGTCGTCAGCCTGGGCATTAGTGTTTTTCCAAAGCTTGGGCCAGGGTAGGGGACCACCATCCCACGGCAACTTTACTAAAAACTGGCTGACCACTTCCAGCACAAGACTTTTCACTGACCTGACCGCTCCTGTGACATCTCTGTGCCTGTGTCTTCTGAACATCTCTGTCTTAGTAAGTCCGAGGTGAATGCTTGACCCCACCCCCACCCCAGGAAATTGTTCCTCCCCCAGTTTTCCCTGAGTAGTGGCCTGTTCTCTCTGCTCAGTTGCATAAATAAGAAAACCAAGAGCTACCCCCACAGTCTTTTGTTGATGCTCACATGAACTCACAGTCACAGAGTTCCTTTCTGCTCTAAAAATGCTCTGGAAATTCTTCCACTGCTCCATCTTCACAGCTGTCAGCTGGACCACGGAGACTTCTGCCCCCACACTACAGTGACAGCCTATTAACGAGACTCCTCCCTCCTTCAACCAGCTGTAAGAGTGGTCTTTTCAGGACATAGCTAACATCTGTTAGGATGGGCAGAATCCAAAGGCCTGATAACAGCACATGCTAGCGAGGATGTGGAGCAGCAGGAACTCTCATCCACGGCTCATGGGAAGGCAGAATGGTGCAGCCACTTTGGAAAATAGTTTGTCAGTTTCTTGCAAAATTCAATATACTCTCACCATACGATCCAGCAATCATGCTCCTTGGTATTTACCCAGAGGAGCTGAAAACTTACGTCCACACAAAAACCTGTACACAGATGTTTATAGCAGCATTCTTCCTCATTGACAAAACTTGGAAGCAACCAAGATGTCCTTCAGTAGGTGAATGGGTGATAACTGTGGTCCATCCAGACAATGGACCATTATTCATCATTAAAAAGAAATGAGTTATCCACTAGGAAAGACATAGAGGAACTTTAAATGTACATGACTAAGGGAAAGATGCCAGTCTGAAAAGGCTACATACTGTATGGTTCCATCTACAGGACATTCCGGAAAAAGGCAAAACTACAGGGACAGTGAAAATATCAGGGCGGGGGGAGGGAAAAAGGGGGGAACATGTGGAGCATGAGGGTGTTTAGGGCAGTGAAGCCACTCTGTGTGGTACCATAATGGTGGACACCTGTCATGACACATTTGTCCAAACCTACAGAATGTGCAATACAAAGGGTGACCCCGGAGATGAACTATGGACTTTGGATGATGATGCTGATGTGTCAGCGGAGGTTCCCTGAGTGTAACAAATGGTCCCACTGGTGGGGATGTGGACAGTGGGGGAGAGGGTGGGGGAGCGGGTGTGGTGGGGGTGGGAGGATGGCAGTATATGAGACTTCTCTGTACCTTCTGTTCAATAGTGCTGTGAAATAAAACATAAAATCTAATAAAAATAAAAGCCTAACAAAACTGTATCTAAGATCACAGTTGTGCCCTTACTTGAACTGTTCGAAGCTACACATTTTACCTGAACTCCACATCCTTCCACATGGGGAAGGGAACAGGAAGGGAAGGAAAGAAGACAGGAGTCTTAATTCTGAATTTAGAACCGTGTACATGAGCTCCCTAGTAAAAGTTCATCTTTTTTCAAATGCACAAAATAGTATGACTTGGTCGGTTAAGTAAGAGAGGTTAATATGATTTACCTCAATCATGTCTTTGTGAAAAATAATTAAGGTCGTTAATTCTGTCTACAAGAAAGCACATCAACACCACAAGAGCGTTTCGTTTCCTTTCTTAGTTGCTGGCTGTCTGGAAGAGCTAAGCAGCAGCGAAGGAAGGGCAACACTGTCAGCCAGTGCCAGGACGGAGAATACATCAGACCGAGACCCTCAGCGCCAGGCCCCACGGGGGCAAGTGTGCAGCTCTTCCAGCTACCGCTGCACTCCACCTCCAAGGCGCAGTGCCCCTCTGCGGTGTGGGTGTGGAATCCAGGCCAGAGTCTCCCCAGCAGGATGGGGCCTGCTCCGTGCTGTCCCGGATCTCCGTGAACAGACACTTGTGCTGGTTCAGGTTGCTCGGCTCTGGAGATGCAGTGCACAGGTCAAACATGGGCTTTGATTTGCGCAGCCTATGTCCTAGAGTGACAAGCCAACCAGGAACTAAGGTAACTCTAGGTGCAGGAAACAGATCTGGGTGAAGAAACAGGTTGTGCCTGGGGACCTTACTGTTGTCTGTGTGGCCAGGGGAGGCCTCTCTGAAAGCAGCACTTAAGCCAACAATCAGAAGCCATTGTGCAAACTCCAGGAGAGTCTCCAGGCCAGGAAAGAGCCCGTGCAGAACCCGTGAAGAGCAGTGTGCTCATGGGGCGCTGGGAGCAGGGGGGGCCAGAGAAGGGGCAGGGCCAGACCCGGGGCCTGCAGACACACTGGAGGGCTGGGGCCTTAATCTAAGGGTCACGGGAAGCCCCTGGAATGTACATCAGGGGAATAACATGATTTTTCTAATGTAAAACATGGCTCTGCCTGGATGTGATGGGTAACCATCAGGGAAGCTGCTAAGGGGGCTTTGCAGGGCTGTGAGTGGGAGGTGACTGAGGCGGTGACCACGAGGACCGAGGGAGCAGACAAACTCAAGAACCTGTTTGCAGGTAGAGACTGTAAAGCTGGCTGTGGGGTGAGGCTGGAAGAAAATCCAAGATGACTCGTAGGTTTCTGGATGCAGTAGCTAATAATTATAGCCAGTACTTGCTGGTTTTTGAGAGCTCATATGTCAGGCATCGTCCTAAATACTGTTTTACACATAGGCACACATCCACACACTTGTTGAACACTCACAGGATTGCTGTCGGGAAAGGACTGTTATTATCCTTCTTTTACAGGTCAGGAAACTGAGGCACAGAGGAGTCAAAGACATGCCCAAGCTATGCAGGTGGATGTGGCTGACTCCACTGCCCTTGCTCTACCCACTGCTGGCTCCCAAGGACCCAGGAGGAGGATGGGTGTCCACTGAGGTGGGGAAGGGGCAGATTCAACCCCCTTCAGGACATATCACTCTACAGATGTCTGTGATCCACTCAAGAACTGCCACCTGAGCCCACTGAGGGCCGCACGTGGGGACTGTCAGAAAGCAAGGGGCTCTGGGAGGGCCGAGATGGGCAGAGCGTGCAGTGCTGGAGCGGCCATGTGTGTAGGGAGGGAGGCTGCTGCTAAGTCGAATGCTGGACACGGCACAGAGAGCACAGGCTGGAGCCCCCACAGCTGGCTCTCACCGCAACACAAGGCCACTGCAGGGATGCCTGGGTGGCGCAGTCAGTGAAGCATCTGCCCCGTGTCAGGCTCCCTGCTCAGTAGGGAGCCTGCTTCTCCCTCTGCCGCTCTCCGCCCCCCTGCTCATTCTCTTTCTCTCTCAAATGAATAAATAAAATCTTAAAAACAAAAACGAGTCCACTTACTTACTGATCCCCACTCTGCATGCTTTCATGAATATTATTTACTGGATTCTGGACATCTATTTATACTCTGCCATTCTTTTTTTTTTTTTTAACATATATCTTTTAAAGATTTATTCATTTATTTTAGAGAGTGAGCAGAAGAAGGAGAGGCAAAGAATCCCAAGCAGAGTTCCCGCCAGGTGCGGAGCTCAACTCAGGGCTCGATCCTACTACCCTGAAACCATGACCTGAGCCAAAATCAAAAGTCGAGAACACTCAGCACACTAAGCCACCCAGGTGCCCCTATACTCTGCCATTCTGATAGAGTAGACTCTCACTCCTCCCTGTTTATAAAACAGGCTCCTCTCAGGGGAAAGGTAGCTCAAATTTTCTAAAATAAATCTAGGGGGACACTTGGGTGGTTCAGTCGCTTAAGCATCTGCCTTCGGCTCGGGTCATGATCCCAGGGTCCTGGAATTGAGTCCTGTATTGGGCTCCCTGCTCAGTGGGGAGCTTTCTTCTCCCTCTCCCTCTGCTGCTCCCCCTGCTTGTGCTCTCTCTCTCTGACAAACAAATAAATAAAAAATCTTTTAAAAAAACCTTCCACATCTATATTAAGAATAAAATAAATCGGGGCGCCTGAGTGGCTCAGTCATTAAGCGTCTGCCTTCGGCTCAGGTCATGATCCCAGGGTCCTGGGATCGAGGCCCGCATCGGGCTCCCTGCTCGGTGGGGAGCCTGCTTCTCCCTCTCCCTCTGCCTGCCTCTCTGCCTACTTGTTCTCTCTCTCTATCTCTCTGTCAAATAAATAAATAAAAAATCTTTAAAAAAATAAAAAATAAAAAATAAATCTAGGAAAGGAGAAGACTGACAACCTTCCCCATTTCTAGTTTCTGGCAGCCTCTAGTTTCTAAGAGGCTGTGATTGGATTGACAGCAATTTGTTTTCAGAACAAAATTCCACCTAATTTTCCTTTGAAGAAAATGAAGTCAGTGGCTTGCTTCTGGAAAACCGTACTGTATGCCTCTTTCTCATGGTTCATACTAGGAGGGCAGCCTTTTGGGGAGCACCTCATGGGAGCACCTGCCGCACAGCCCACTGCAGGGAGCACGGGTGGGTCTGTGGGTGACTCCATGTAGGCATGCTACTGTCTCAAAAAGAATGGGGACAAATTTTGAACTTACCACGGCTTCTGACGTGGATGGAAGTCTCTGCAGCCCTGTTCTGGGAAGAGTCTCCCTGGGACTCAGCAGGTGTAGCTTTAGCTTGCCAAAGAGGATCTTCAACAAAAGCAGTGACACGTGATGAGCGGGTCTCAGATTTGAGAGAAACTGAACATCACTACCACAGCCACAGAAGGCCTACCCAATTAGATGCCACAAACACTCAAATTCTGAATTCATACTTTTCTTGGATTTACAGGCTTTGAAGAATGAATCTCAATGTGAGAAAACATGGATAACTTACATTCTTTCTAGATCATCAACATAAAATAATATTTATAAATTCAGAATAAATCTCTCTTTAACCTCTAAGTAAGTATATTTTATAAAAAAACAAAAACAAAATTCAGTCTTACCTCTCGGAGCTGATTACTACTTGTTATAAGAAAGTGCTCTCCTGCAACACAATGGGCTTCTTGCTCCAGTTCCCGGAGATGAGACTGTGAAGGTGACACAGAATCTCACTAATGGTTTTCACAATGTAAGATGATTTAATTTGCTCATCAAACAGTTCCCAACAAAAGTTCTTATAAGAATAGAAAATAGCCTACAATTTACCAAAATGGACATTAAAAATATATACTTTGACTCATAGTGGAAAACTCTGGCTCATAGAATCATCCTCTCCCAAACCTCAGGAAGCAAAATGAAAGAAGCAAAATAGGAAATAACACACCAAAATAAGGGAAAGAATGAATTCTCCAGGAATATTACTACTAGAAAAGGGATCTAGCATCATACCACAAACTTGAAAGCATCCAAGTAGGTAAAGGAGGTAGGACCAATGACCTCGTAGTGCCCTCCCACCCAGCAGAGAGAGCAGCCGCAGGGGACACCAGGGACACGCTCTGGATACAGCCTGGCTTGAGGGGTGGGAGGTACGGGTGGTCCAGGTGAAAAAAAATCTAACCATGCCCCATGCAACGGCTGACAGTGAGGAGCGGAGCACAGCTGAATTTATAAGCCCCTCGCCCCCTTGCCACTTCCGTCAGAAGAAAAGTGGAAGGCAGCCAGGACTTAAAAACATAATTATAGAAGAAAACAGAAAGTTGAGGCTAAACCAACCCACCCTGGTGAAATATCATCTGCATTCTATTCTTCATCAGATGAGGACGGCCTTGAGTCTGAAATTTTGAAAGAAGTTACAAAGAGGGTCCAGAGAAGTTAGGAGCGGACAAGTCTGATACAAGAAAAGAGTATGTAGGCAAAACGAAGAAGCCAGAAACACTTGCCTCAGTTAAAGTATGCCAAAACTCGGTAGTCAAAGAAACAAATGAGAAAAAGAAAACCAAGGAACAGAGAGCATTAAAGGACAGATAATGGATCCCTTCAGGAGTAAGCCATACCTTAGGGAACAAAAACTCAAGCAACAAACTGAGCTTCCAGTTAAAATGGCACATAAACTTGCATGTTAATGCACTCCTCGTGTTCAGGCACAAGAAGAAATGGATAAATATAAACAGAGAAAAACAAAAAGACAGTTCTTTAAAGAACAAAACAAAAGCATCTCTTCAGAGCAGGAATAGATACAAAGTACAAAGCAGTAGGCAGAAGGACCGGAAAACCCAGCTGGGCTTTGGGGCCTGCCGCCAGGCCGGAGGAAGCCGGGCCAGCTTGGACCAGTTACCTGCTGCCTCATGACAAACCAGTCCAAAGCACACTGCCATGGATCAGCACCTTGGGTGGGGCTCAGCCAGGTGCAGGTGCTGGCTGCATGGCTGGGTGGGTAGATTAATTTCAAATTGTCGCCCATTTAAAAATTACCTTAACTGGCTTTTTCTTATTGATAGGAGTTCTCTATTACAGTCTGCATATGAGTCCTTTGTCAGACGCATGAAAATACAATCAAAATCCCAGCAGGGTTTTTAAAAAAGTAGATCAAAGAACTTTATATGGCAATGCAAAGAACCTAAGACTGGATAATACTATATAGAAGAAACACAAAGATGGAAGACATACCATAGGGTATTAAGACTTATGATTACAAAGCTACCATAACTAAGGCAGGGGAGTATTAGCACAGGATAGATTAAAAAAAAAAAAAACCACAACACATGAAACAGAACAGAGTCCAGAAAAAGATTCACATTACACAATGTTAAAAATAAAACACACATGGAGACCAGCCTTGAAAATTCCCTAAGCAGGTGAAACCAGTGTAGTCCTACAAGCAATGCTTCATTTAGTCTATTCTGCAAGATCAGGGAGGCTAACTTGATCTGGGTTGCTTCTTGCTTGTGCCTCTGAAAATCATAAGTGAATCTCAAATTGTGCCCCCCCAAATCCTAATGCAGTAGTCCACCACTGTGAAGAATAACCAGTTCCTGCCTCCACACCATATAAGCTGCTTTATGACAACAGACCTCTGAGCTTCACTCCATGGCTTGGTTTGAGTGCTCCTGGTTTGTAAGCTGTCTTTTTGGTGTGTGCACAATAAAGTTTTGCTACTTACTACTTCAGTGCTCCACTGGTTTTGCTTCTGTTTTTCTCTGAACTTTTGACAGCAGTGATCTGACTTATGACACAGATGTTACTGTAATTCAGTAGGGAAACAATGGCACTTTTATTTATTTATTTTATTATTATTATTTTTTAAAGATTTTATTTATTTATTTGACAGAGAGACACAGTGAGAGAGGGAACACAAGCAGGGGAGTGGGAGAGAGAGAAGCAGGCTTCCCGCAGAGCAGGGAGCCCAATGTGGGGCTCGATCCCAGGACCCTGGGATCATGACCTGAGCCAAAGGCAGATGCTTAACGACTAAGCCACCCAGGTGCCCCAACAATGGCACTTTTAATAAATGATGCTGAAATAAACAGAAATCAACCTGGGGGAAAAAATCTTAACCATACCTAATATCATATAGAAAAATTAATGTGAAATGGATGGTAGGCTTAAAATAATACAGCTTATAGAAGAAAACAGAAGAATATCTTTACTAGAAGGCAGACAAAAGATATCAGCACATAAAAATTCTTAAACATTTAAAAAATGGTTCACTGGACTTCATTAAAATAAAGAGATTCTGTTCACCAAAAGATAGCACTATTAAGAGAGTGAAAAGACAAGCCACAGACACAGACTGAGCGGGAAGGTATTTTAGGTTCCACGGGCCACATACGGCTCCTGTCACATATTCTTCTTTATCTTGGCTTATGTGTTTATCTTTTAAAAATTGTAACAACCACTCTTAACTTGTAGGCCATATGAAAATAGGCCACAGAGTGGATTTGGCTCACAGACTCCCTGGAGTGGGAGAAAGAATTTTCAATATATATTAAAAAAGACTTGCATACAGAATTTAGTACAAAGACTCACATACAGAATATATAAAGAACTCCTACAAATCAATATGAAAAAGTCAGTTAACATAAATTTCAAAATGGGTGAAGTCTGCAAAACTGACCACAAAAGAGTACATCCAAAATACCATCAAGCATATGGAAAGGTCCTCAATATCATTAATCATCAGGGAAATGCAAACTAAATCCACAATGTAAATCCATATAATCCACTGTAAATATACAATGACAGACCCACAGAATAACGTGAGAAAGCCTGGCAGTGTGCGCTGGTGAAGATGTAGCAAATGGGACTGGAGAAGGTCATGACCAATCCCAAGAGCTCTTTGGAAGTACCTACTACCACCTATGCACACACCGTGATCCAGCAATTCCATTTCCAGATATAAAACCAAGAGACAGAAGCACTCACATCCACCACAGTTTATGCACACGAATATTCACAGCCACTGTGATCACAGTGCCTACCAATGGGAAGGCTGTAAAGAAGCTAAGACACATTCTTAAATGGGTGTTACACAGCAAGTTTTATTGGAACCCACATCTGCTAAAACTCACCAAACAAGTGAATCCCACAGATAGAATGTGAGCAAAAAAAAGCCAGAACCAAAGAGCCCACACTGCGTGGTTCCATTTGCATGAAGCTCAAAATCACTGAACAGAATCAGATTAATGGCTCTGTCTGGGGTTACAGACTAGGAGAGGACAGGAAGGAGGAGCCTTCTGGTACTGGAAATATTCTATATCTTGCTCTGGGTGGAGTCACATGCATGTGTACAAATGTAAAAACATGTCAAGCTGTACACTTACAATTTGCACCAAGGAGATCTGGAAAGATGGCAGAGTAGGAAGCACCTGTAAGTAAGAAACTGCCTCCCCACCTGGACCACATTTGCAGGGGCAGAAACCATCTGATGCAATAGCCGTTTTGAACTCAGGAGTCTGTTGAAGGCTTTCCGCTTCCAAGCTTGGAAGGTAAACTGCAGCTACTTTTGGTCGATTTCAGCTCTTAGCACAGTAGCAGCGGCCCATCCCCATCTTGCACCCCAGCCACACAGCAGGCAATCGTCCACCTGTTTCTGGAACACTGTGCAAAAGCCAGGGTGGGCAAAAAGACCCTGTCCTCCAAATGGTAGGGATCTGGGCTCTGACTACTGCTTCTAATAACACAGGTACAGACAAATAGGCAGGCAGTCATCGTTGTCGCCCCTCTCTCCAGTGTTGTAAGACCCTCTCCCTCCAGCTGAACAGACTCCCAGGGGAATTAAAGGGCCAGCACCCTTTTACATCCCCCTTCATTTTTCACTTTTCCTCCTTTTGGGAGCCAGAAATTAAAGGACAAGGATGGTTGACAACTACTGCTTATGCAGGGAAAATTAGAAATAGACTGTGTATGCTCAGGAAAAATCTTAGAAAAAAACATGAGAAGACCTTAAGTTTGCCCCTCAGGCTGATCTTTAGCACAGAGACACCCTATAGCAATAAAAAAACGAAAACCAAAACCACTAACACAAAACAGCAAACCCTGTGGTAGGGGAAGAATATGATTTTCAGAGCTACCACATTATCAGATTCAAATGTCCAGAGTTCAATAAAAAATTTCAAGGCATACAAAGAAAAGCATCCCATTCAAACAGGAAAAAAACAAAAAAACAAAACAAAACATCAACAGAAACTGTCCCTGAAAAAGACCTAATGGCAGATCTACTAGACAAAGACATTAAAACCACTGTCTTAAAGATGCTTGAAGAACTGAAGGAGGATGTGAAGAAAGTCAAGAAAACAATGTGTGAGCAAAATGCAAATAATGATAAAGAGAGAGAAAACCTAAAAGGAAATAAAAAAGAAATTCTGGAGCTGAAAAGTACACTAACTGAAATAGAAAATGCCTTTGGGTGGTTCAACAGCAGATTTGAGCAGGCAGAAGAAAGAATCAGTGAACTTGAAGATGGGATAATGGAACTTACTGAGGCTGAGGAACATACAGAAAATAAATTGAAGAAAAGTGAACAGAGCCTAAGGGACCTGTGGAACACCACAAAGTAGACCAGCATATGCATTGTGGGCATCCTAGAAGGAGGAGCGAGAGAAAGGGAGAGCAAAAATGTTTGAAGAAACAATGGATGAAAACATCTCAAATTTGATGAAATACATGAATATAAACATCCAAGAAGCTCCACAAACTTCAAGTAAGAGGAACTCTTTTAAAAGAGATCAACACCAAGGCATATTATAATCAAAATTTCAAAAGACAAAGACAAACAGATAATCTTG